GTCTGCCCTCAATTTGAGATGAGTTATAAATAGCAGTGCCGACTTCCTTAACTACCGCTCTCTGAGGTAAAATGCAGGTTAATTACTGTGGGAATCAATTAGGGGGTTCTTTTGGTTAAAGAGCCAGGGATGCATTTTTTTATTGTTATTATTAAAAGTCATACAACAAATCTGGCCAGGAATAAATTGAAAGCACAAGGAGTAAGAAATAATATTTAAATGTCCAAAATCCAAGGTTATGGCTCTAGGTTTATACTGGCCCTAACTCGTTGGCGTTTAGGATGACAGAACAAGTGGTGGTCAAGACTTTTCCTTTCTGATGGACACATTTTTGGCAGCCCCTGGCCCATTCCTCTCTATTCTTATTCTTGCTAGCCCCTGGCACTGCTGAGTACTAAATTTGGCTCCTTAGGGTTGCTTCCTGGTCACTTCCCTTCTGTATCTTTGGATTGAAAGTGGAGTTTTCCTCAGTCGGACTTTTATTTCAAGAAAATTATGAAGTTTCTCTTTCTTGGTGCCACTGCCACATAGTGTAGTACATTTTGGTGAATGGTATATCTCTGTTTAGAAGTTTTGAGTTCTTGGCCCAGTCTTCTCTGTTCTCTTCTCAGTCGTGGTCCGATAAGAATTTGCAGCTATGTTTAATCTCTGAGTTTCAAGAAGCTGGTTACTTTTGGTTACATGACTTTTAGCCCAGGTCCACCTTAAAGTCTAGTTTGTTATATATCTCAGCAACCTCTGAGGGTCATTATGGATTTCCTTGGTTCAATAGGAAGTTGTAAGAGACTCTAATACCCAACTAGTCTGGGGGGTGTAATTCCATTTGCTTGGAACTCTATATGCAAGTGGTAAGTCTGCTAGCTGTTCTGAATATATTTAGAAGGACAAGCCTGCTGGGCATCCTTGCCTTTGATGCCCCCAACCTGCAGCTTTTGATGCATTTCATTTGGCAGGCAGTTCATAACATGGCCAGTGATCTGGAAAGAGATAAGTGGTGGATGGAGATGAGCAGTTTTCTTGTGGCTCTTTACCCCTTTTTTATTTTTATTTGTTGTGAATGCAGGAGGGTATGTAGCAGGGCTGCCCCTGCGCCCCCCCCCCCTTCACTGATCAAGGAGCAGCATTTCCCTCTCAATTATGTGTCTCTGTGGCACAGCCTTTGCTTTTGAAGTGTAATCACAGTAATCTACTCCTGTGGTTTCCCATTGAAAGGATTTCCTCTCTGTTTTTCCCAGAGTGGAATCTCTGGCTCTGCAGCTAGGGTTTGGTGTTTCCCATCCCCTGCCTTATGCCTGCAGACTGCTGATACTGGCTTTTATATCTTGCTTGTAGTAGAGATTTTTCTGGTCTGAAATCGCTACTTTCCAATAAAAGTGATTAGCGAAGATTTAAAGCCTCTGTTATGAGAGGCTGGAAGATGGCATTTCATCTATAACTGCAAATCACAAATCTTTCACAATCAATTTAAATGTCAGGAATGTGAGTTAGGGTCCTACCCACCTTTCCTTCTGATATGAGATTTCTAACTCTGACATGAGACCAGAGTCATCTGATTGTTTGAACTGTATATATTTTAGTTTTCCAAATAAACTGCATATTCTGTAAATGATAAGTCTTTGGTGAAGGGAGGGAGTCAGAAATCTGATGACCAGAAAAAAAAGTGTCTTTTTTTTAATGCATTTAAAAAATTTTTTTTATAAGAAAGTGTCTTAATTTTAATTTTAGAATAAGAATTTCTTTGATGTGTATTTATTTTTGGTCTTCAGAGATTTCCTTAAAGTTGAGATGGGACATTCCTTGAACCTTTACAGCCCCCATGTAAGTAGCTGTGCTCACTTGGGAGCACAGTCTTCCTGATGTGAGAGAGGAAAAGGTAACTTGTCTTTAGCCTTTTTTAAGCAGTATATTTGGGGGTGCCCCTGCAGTTTTGAAATCCTCCCTGGTATAGGATGGCACATATGTTTATTCTCAAAGTGTGCTTGTTTTCCCTTGAGTTTTCCATCCTCCTCTTTTCTGTTTCAGTTCAGTCCAAATTTTTTTCTGCCCTTATAGTCAAACCTGTCCTAGGGTTGGGTTTAGGGCATACCCCTGGCCTTATGGCTGGATGTTTTGATCAGGTCTCTCTCCCATAGTGTCCCCTGCCCACTGCAATATGGCAACATTGAACAGTTACTAAGCCCTAGCTCTGCACTTGGGTGTTTGGGGAAACTTTGAAGGTAAAATTCAAATTTCTTCCCAGCATTTAAGCCTTGAGAGATACAATCAGTTGAAATAGTTAGCTACAACTATATGTTAAATCTTTCTATGCTAACTGAATTTACAGTAGGACATTGGGAATATGAGAAATCAAAGTGTGCTAAAGATGTGGAAAGTGGCTTCATGTTGAAACGTCAAGTTTCTGCTATTTAGAAGCCATTGTGGATGGGAGGCCAGGCCAGGGCAGGGCAGGGTACCATTGTATAGAGCTGGGAATGTACAGTATGTGGGGAACCTTGGAGTGAGATGTAAAAGATATGGAGAACTGGACCACACTGTAGAGGGCTTTAGAGCCAGGTAGATGCACTATATATCATTATTGATAACTACCACCATTTATTGGGCATTTAAAACCAGACACTGTCTGAAATATGTGTCTTTTAGATAAAGAATCAGTGTCTTCAAAGTAAGATGGTGAGGGAGGATTTGAACCCAAGTCTAAATTACTTCACTCTGCTCTTTCTATGTGATAATACTATACAGGATTTAGTTGGTAAGAAGTTTGTAGTTATTATTGAGGAGGGAGTGATTAAAGTGATTTGGGAGCATTGCTGTAGAACCGCCCTGTCTAATATGATAGCCACTAGCCACATGTGGTTATGTGAATTTAAATTAATTGAATGTAAATAAAATAAAAACTTAGTTCTTCAGTTATATTTCAAGTACTTAATAGTTACACATCATGGAAAATTTTATTGGACTGTGCTTCCTTAGGTCACTGGTTCTCAGCTAATAATGCACATCAGAATATTCAAGGGTCTTAGGGCATGGGGAGGAGCCCAAGTTCTTCCAGAACCACTAATTGGAATCTCTAGGGAGAGGCCCAGGCATTTGTGAAGCTTCACAGAAAATTCTGATCTGCAGCCTGGGTTAATGGCTACTTCTCTAGAAGCCCCATGGTAACCATGGTAATGACTGCCCCTCGTGTTGTGTTGTGAGAAGACCTAGACTGACAGAGATACCCAGAGCAGGCTGGTCTCTCTGTTTAACAAACATAGTCTCTTCAGTTGGGAGCCACTTGGACAGTAGCTGTGGGCTGGGCTAAGATGAGAACCTTGGTATGATATGTGGCATGGTGTGGCCATGGAAGCTACTAAGTTCTTTACAGGAGAGAATGGTGATTTTTTTTTTTTTTTTTTTTTTTTTTTGCTCCTTTGCCAGTTGTATTGGGAGGGAAACCACATGCTATATATTAACTCACTAGTCTAATTGTCTAATTGTTGTTAAATAGTCCTGAAAGAATCCATGTAGCTCCAAACTTATGATTGGGAAGCTCCAATGAACTTTGGATATAGGCGCAGGTCTTGGGCAAAAATTGTTTAGTTAGGGTTGTTGGAAACAGCACTTTAATAGCATTGATTTGTAGGGGTGATTTGGGACACAGTTGCTATGATTCTCCACAATTTAGAAATGTGGGGGAGAAGTACTCCTGTCATCACTATTACCTTTTTAGCTGAGGTTTCAGCTGTAGCCTAAAGAGAACTCTGCTCTTTTTTTCCTCTTGATATTTAGAACAACAGCCTCTGTGGCTTATTGTGTTATCCATTTTCCTTCATGAAAGCCCTACTTCTTCTATTATTAATATAAAACGCGTAGTAGCATAAAAAAAAGACTTGCAGAGAACCAATTGTTTGGATTTCCCCCTCCCTTATTTTGGAGGTATTTTGTTGTTGTTTAAGGTCTTACACATCTTAAGTTATAGAATAATAGAACTACAAGGGACTCTGGGGATAATCTAGACCAGTGGTTCTTAAAATATTTGATCCCTGGACCAACAGCATTAGCATCACCTGGCAACTTGTTACAAATGCATATGCTAGGTCCCACCCTGAACCTACTTAATCAGAGACTCACTGGTGGGGGACGGGAGTGGTCTGTGTTTTAACAAGTCCTCTGGGTGATTTTGATGCATGCTAAAAATCAATGAACTGCTGAATTCCTTCATTTGAGAGTTAATGATATTCAGGCTAAGAGTATCTATCCCCTACCTCCAATTTAGGTAAGATTTAGTTTCTTCAACTTGGATTATCTAAAAGGTACTTGGAAAAACTTGTTCTTTAAAGAGACAAAACTTCTGTCCTCCTTATATCCTCAAACTCTTTGTATTTAATAAAAGAGATGAACTTTTCAGGAGAGATGAACAAGGCTCTAAATTCAGAGTTACTGTTCTCTCAATAATTGTAACTTAGCCTCATTGCTCATTTGGAAGAAAGCATATATTTAACTGCTTGTGCCATAGTGCAAACAGCCTACAGATGTGTAAGGAAAAAAATGTCTACTCTTGGAAGAATAGAAACATCTGGATGCTTGTGTATTTGAATTCCCAGGCACAGTATTGAAGCATCAGTTTTGGTATTGTTGTATAAGGTCATAGCAGTGTAGAGTAGCACTGTCCTTTCCTAACTGAAGGGTCTTTGTTCTGATGGTCTATACCACAGAGTGCATATATTAATTGCTCCCCACTTGGCCTGTCCCTTGGATCTTAAGCAGTACCACACTTATAAAGTATTTGTTAGCTTTCACAAACAGGTGATATTTTCATTTTCTATATGATGAAATCAAGGTTCTGAAGAGGATTAATTCACTTACTCAAGGGTTACTGGCTCTGTCCCATTACTTTTTTCACAGTAATTGGTTTCCTTTGTGGCATACAGACTCAAAAAACCTGTATACTTGGGTTGTATATTCATATTGGCCAGGGGCCATCAAAGCTTCAGGTTAATGAATTGCTCTTTATTTTGTAGCCATCCAGTCCAATGGATCAGATGGGCAAGATGAGACCTCAGCCATATGGCGGGACTAACCCATACTCGCAGCAACAGGGACCTCCGTCAGGACCGCAGCAAGGACATGGGTACCCAGGGCAGCCATATGGGTCTCAGACCCCGCAGCGGTACCCGATGACCATGCAGGGCCGGGCGCAGAGTGCCATGGGCGGCCTCTCTTATGTACAGCAGGTAGATGGTGACTCTGATTACCTTGACCCTCGTTGCTGTCCAGGATCTGGTCTGTGAGCTATAGAATCAGAATGTATCCTTGGCTTCCAAGCCTCTTGACCAGAGCAGAGGCCAACTGGCTCAGTTAGTTGCAGTATGCTACTAACAAGGCCAAAGTCGTGGGCACCATCCCATGTATGCTCCAAGGAAAACTGCTCTTTGGCCACAGGCTGTACATGTCTATCTTTTTCTCTTAACCTGGCTGGCCCGCTGAGTGGTGATCTCTGAAGGAGATGGGATGAAAGACAGTGGCTGAGCACGTATCCACTGCTACTGCTAAGAAAACCATTCATACTATGTGCCCTGGGGACAGAAGAGACCCTTCATGTTTCTTCAGTATATCAGCTGTCCAGTTCAAGATGAATGTTTAAGAGGGACTGGGAGTAGAAAAAAGAGGGAGGATTAAACAGTAAAGATGCTAACAGATGTTGTAAATGTTGAGATGTCCCCTCCTCTCCTTTTGTCTGGCCATCCGCACCATTATCTTTTTTCTTTTTCTTTTTTTTTCTTTTTTTTTTTAGCCATTCTTCCCAGAAAAGCATGCATCATTATCTTTTTATTGTCACTTTTTTGTGTTGACAGAATTTGCTACTGTTTATATTTGAGTGATACTCATCTTGAAAATGGTGAGGGACGGCATATAAAACCTAACTTCTAAGACTTTAAAACAAAATATACCCTTTAATATAGAAAATGGGATCCTGTCACTTTTTTTTTTCCCAAGGAGAAAATAGAGAAGAAATGGGTAGTGTAGGGGTTTTTGTGTGTTTTGTTGTTGTTCTTGTTATTATTTGGGTTTTTTGCCTGCTTACCAAATGTATTTACAGTGACTGAAATAGTGCCTGATACAAGTAAACAAGTAGGCCTTCAAATATTTTTTTAATTGAGGACTACATGAAAGAACCAAAGTAGCTTAGTGATTTACACACTGGATTACTAAACTCTAGGTTTTCAGTTGGCTGAGCCAGGTTGCTATTGAAGATTCATGGTGGTTAGGATTCAGATTTTTAACTTAAAAAACAGTTTAGGCTATGACAAAAAGAGTAGGCTCATTGGTGAAAACAGCTACTTAAACCCATGTAAGTTAAATTTAAATTTAACTTAAACTCATGTAAGTTACCCAGATAATAAATAGTGTAAATTTTTGGTGGATGAATGTAGTCCACTTGTAAATAAACCAACTAATAACCCAGCTTAGCCATCCTTCCTGACACAGTTTAGACAGGGATGGTAGAAAAACCCTGGGCCCTCTCATTGTGAGACCTGGCTTGCCTGCTTTCTGTACTCATCCTAGGGCATTGCTTGTGATAGAATACTTCACTTTTCTTCATCCAGCAGAATCAGTGCTAAAAGTATCTTTTCCTTTCCTACAGATTCCTCCTTATGGACAACAAGGCCCCAGTGGGTATGGTCAACAGGGCCAGACTCCATATTACAACCAGCAAAGTCCTCACCCCCAGCAGCAGCAGCCACCATACTCCCAGCAACCACCATCCCAGACCCCTCATGCCCAACCTTCATATCAGCAGCAGCCACAGTCTCAGCCATCACAGCTCCAGTCCTCTCAGCCTTCGTACTCTCAGCAGCCATCCCAGCCCCCACATCAACAATCCCCGACTCCATACCCCTCCCAGCAGTCCACGACACAGCAGCACCCCCAGAGCCAGCCCCCCTATTCACAGCCACAGGCACAGTCTCCCTACCAGCAGCAGCAACCCCAGCAGCCAGCACCCTCGACGCTCTCCCAGCAGGCTGCGTATCCTCAGCCCCAGTCTCAGCAGTCCCAGCAAACTGCCTATTCCCAGCAGCGCTTCCCTCCACCACAGGTAAGATGCCCCTGCCTCATACCCTTCCCTGTGGGTTTCTACAGATAGCCTTGGAGGTTGGCGTCAGGAGAACTTTGCCATACCAAGTGGTTCTCTAATGTACACTTAAAGACTAATTAAACTCTGGGTAAACATGTGAGCTGGATTGATTGAACTAATAAAGGCATAACCTTTATTTAAAGACCTGTAGTTCTCCTTAATGATGAAGAAATAGGGCAATGGAAAGTTGTATAGACAGATAAGAAATTAAATAGGACTGTTTTTTTTTTTTTTTTTCTTCTAAACCAGCATATTAGAACTTGAGCATCCAAGTGAGTTTGGTCTTTTTTCAAAACAGTCACTTTGGAAGGCTGTACTGTAGTACATTCATTCCAATTGCCATTCCATTCTGCTGTTGCTCAAAATATTTGGACCCCTTCATTTGAAATTGCCATCAGAGCTGATATTGCATATTTTAGAATATTCTCAGTGGTGGCAAATCTTATTTTTTGAGGGTGGATTTGATTTTGGGAGATAGCAAAAATTCATCTGGAGCTACGTCTGGTGAATGAGATGTAGGTATTGAAGCCTTAAAATAGCAATTGGATTTTGTTTGTTATAGAGCCAAAAGAGGAAAAATGACTGAGTGATGACAGATCCACTAAAGATTTTGTGCATTGGTGACATCATTAGAAAAAAATATCCCATCCCAGGTGATATCTTTAAAGGAAGCAATATTCATTTTGATGCAGAGGTTCTATCATGAGGTTTTTTGGGTTTTTTTATATCAATTGGTGGCTGGGCATAGTGGCTCATGCTTATAATCCCAGCACTTTGGAAGGCTGAGATGGGAGGATAGTTTGACACCAAGAGTTCAAAACCAGCCTGGGCAACACGGTGAGATTATGTCTCTACCAAAAATTTAAGAATTAGCCAGGCATGGTGGCATAAGTCTATATAGTCCCAGCTACTTTGGAGGCTGAGGCAAGAGGATCGTTTGAGCATGGGAGTTGGAGGTTACAGTGAGCTGTGATTATGCCACTGCACTATAGCCTGGGCAACAGAACAAGAAAGTATCTCACAAAAAACATTAAATTAAACTAAATTAATTGGTCTCATTCATTGATAGGTATAAGTTGCAGTTAGCCAGACGTTAGCATATATATAACCCCAAGAAATAGCTCTCTGTGGTAGCAACAAACAGGCAATAATTTCATCAGAATAGAAAGAGTCCACTGTGGACAATCTCTTTCTCTCTCTTTTTTTTTTTTTTTTTTTTTTTGAGACAGAGTCTCACTTTGTTGCCTAGGCTAGAGTGAGTGCCATGGCATCAGCCTAGCTCACAGCAACCTCAAACTCCTGGCTCAAGCAATCCTTCTGCCTCAGCCTCCCAAGTAGCTGGGACTACAGGCATGTGCCACCATGCCCGGCTAATTTTTTCTATATATATTAGTTGGCCAATTAATTTCTTTCTATTTATAGTAGAGACAGGGTCTCGCTCTTGCTCAGGCTGGTTTTGAACTCCTGACCTTGAGCAATCCGCCCGCCTTGGCCTCCCAGAGAGCTAGGATTACAGGCGTGAGCCACCGCGCCCGGCCTCTTTTTTTTTTTTTAAAGAGACTGGATCTTGCTCTGTTGTCCAAGCTGATATGCAGTGGTCCGATCATAGCTTACTGTAACTTCAAATTCCTAGATTCCTGGGCTCAAGCAACCTCCTTCCACAGTCTTCTGAGTAACTGGGACTACAGACACACACACCACCACATGCAGCTGAGGTTTTTTTTGTATGGACAGGTCTTGCTATGATCCTTGGGCTGCTCGTGAAAGATATTCTTAAGAGCCACAGCTTGAAGTTTTCTGCTTTCAGATAATATTGTTCACAATTGGGCTTTCTCTTGCACCCAACTTCCCTTGCATGAGAGAGTCTCCTAGCTCTTTCATCACCAAGTTTATCAATACCAGGTCTTCACAGCTTTGGTTTTTCTTGTTTTAGGAGCTATCTCAAGATTCATTTGGGTCTCAGGCATCCTCAGCCCCCTCAATGACCTCCAGTAAGGGAGGGCAAGAAGATATGAACATGAGCCTTCAGTCAAGACCCTCCAGCTTGCCTGTGAGTATTTCTGCTACCCTCTCAAAAGTGATAGGGACAGAAAGAAAACTAGTTTACGGTTGGATGTTTTGGTGGTATTGATCTAAATGAACAAAAAGTTATTCTTGAATTCAGGTTCAAAATTCTGAGTAGGCACTTAAAGACTGACTTGTAGAATATCTATTCTGTCTACCTGCCTGGGAATAGGTTTGTGATCTGTTTATAGAGTTTATTTTTATTTTATTTTATTATAGAGTTTATTGGTTTTGTTTTTGTTTTTAAAGCTTGGGCTCTTAGGCATGCACTCATGAAGGGCAGAGAAGATGGAGATGTTAGAAGCACTGTTCTCCATGAAAGCTGAAAAAAGTCTGCTTCTTGACTTTACTCTTGAGGGCTTAATTTTCAGGTTTTTGGCTTAGTGTTTACCTAAGATAGGTAAACGCTAAGAGGTTTTTCTGGTGGTGGTTTTGTATGAATAGGTTTTTTTTTCTAGTAACGTGCTTGGTGCCCAGGTGCTTGATTATAGAATCGGGCTTATTTATGGAATGGACTGATCATATCCTGAGAAGGGCAATATAGTCTGATGATTAAGAGCTCTAGAGCCAGAGTTCCTGAATCTGCATCTTGATTCTGCCACTAACTTTGTAGCCTGGGGCAAGTCACTTCACCTCTCTGTGCCTTAGTTTTCACATCTGTAAAATGAACCTAAAAATATCCACTTCATGGGGTAGTGATTAACATTAAATAGGTTAATAGAGGGCAAGCAAGCAAGGGCATTGGCACATTACAAGCACTTCATAAATGTCAGCTTTTATAATCACCATCTCAGAGGGCATAGGGACTGTGCTTGATATCTGAAAGATAGTTAACACCAACTGTTTAATTGTAGGCTGGTTCTGGGAACATTTACTCTTAGCTCTGTGGGCAGGTCACTCAGCCTCTGAAAATTAATCTGGTGGGCACAGAAATAAAATAGGGTACTCTGAAATCAAGTAAGACGGTAGGTAGCAAACCCTGCATCACAAACCTTACTTCAGTTAGGAAATGGAAATTTAGCCACATATACCCAGATAAAATAGTCTTCTAAAATTTTTTTTTTTTTAAGTCTTCTAAAATTTTGACTCTACTTGGATTTGAAGCCTGTCTCTTTAGTTATTCTGACTTGGGAGAAAATAGTTTCTGGATCTTTAAGGAATGGGTAGAAGGCAGAAACTCTCTTCATTATGAAACCTCCACCGGCTTCCCCTGAAGATGTCTGAGACATAACCTTAGTAGGGCAAGATCTATAAAGTCCCTCAGTACCTGGTGTTCAGTCTTCCAAGGCCCGGATGAAGGGCCACTCTGTCAGATAGGACTTTTGAGGCTGTTGACTTTCCTCAGCTAAGGAACTGGGGGAAGGAAGTGCCTGAATAAAGCGATCACTCTTTGTTCCCTTCTCATTAGTGTCTGTTGCAATCCTTTTCTGCATCCTGGACTTCACTGGAATGTGCTTTTTAACCTGATTCAGTCAGAAATATGTAACCACTCCCTCATCATCTATGGTCTGTGGCTAAATCGGGGTGGGGTGTTACTGTGTCAAGAACCCAAATCGCTGGATTTCTGTCAGTGCTGTAAGTTGCTTCCCTTCAAAAACTTTTTGCTTGCTTCTGGTGACCTTTCAGTAGAACTGTATTTGGTATTTTTCAGTCCTGGGAAGACTCATATACAAAGATCGCTGCATGTCTTCTAAGGGTTGGGAATCCAAGAGCTTCTGATTTGACCTACTGAAATGAAGATGTTGGCAGCTTTTTAGGCCCAGGGGAGGCATGTTCCTGGGAAGCCTATCACAAGGAACATTCCCAAGTTTAGACTTCTTCTAAAGATTCATCCAAATGGGTCATTTGCTCTATGGTAGGAGCTCTATGTGAGAGGTGAGCTGGGTGGGTTATTGGCATCTTGGTTTTTTGAATTGCTTTTTATCCCTCTGCTTCTTGGACAAGAAACAAAAAGTGGTTATTCTTCGAAATTTTGATTTGATACCAGATTTGACTACCTGGGCTAGGAAATGGTCACATTTTACAAGGGCCCTCTCCTTTCTTAACCAGGTGTTAAAAGATCTCTAAGCTTGCCGGTGTGTTTCCTCACTAAACAGAGGTTTATGGAGCATCTGTTTGTGTTTGGCATCAGATCAGATTCTTGGCTGACTAGAGAGCAGCCCCTCCAGTTCCCTTCTTCTCTCATTCACCTTACCTGCTTGGCCCTAAAGGCGTTATGATTGTGACCTTGATTACTGCAAAAATTAAATTTTGAGGTGTTTTTGCTAAACTATTAATGCCAAACCATGTAGCTGCTATTATCCTGAACATGTTATCCCTGTATTTAAAGGTCTCAATTATTTCCCCATTAATCTTAGAATAAACTTCAAAATCCTTAAGATTACCCAGGCATCAGAAACACAGGTTTCTGTCCTCCTCCCCTCAACACATACCTTCTCATTCAGTAGATCTGGAATGGGGCGTGTGGATGTGCATTTCTGACAAATTTTTCAATAATTCTGATGCTACTAGACCAGGGATGGCAGTTTGAGAACCTCTGCTTTATCCTTTTTGTCCTCTGCCTTCCTCATGGCTTTCTTTCAGTTTCTCTAAAGCCCCACATGCTTTTTTTTTTTTTGCTTTCAGACTTTGCACACACTCTTCCCTTTGTCTTTTACTTTTCCCCCAATTCCTCCTGTTCATTTTTCAGACTTAAAGATCATTTCTTTAGAAAACTCCTTCCTAATCAAGCTTCAAGACTCAGCTTAAATAACGTCTGTGATGACTTTACTGACTAAAGGTGGTTTTTATCTTACTTAAAAAAAACCCTGCAATATTTAAGGCATACAAAAAAGGTACAAAGAAGCTGGAGGATGTCGTGGTGTGTACCTGTAGTCCGAGCTACTTGGAAGGCCAAAGGCAAGAGGATGGCGTGAGCCCAGGAGTTTGAGATAACAGTGAGCTATAATTTCGCCACTGCATTCCAGCCTGAGCAAGAGGGTGAAACCCCCATCTCTTTAAAAACAAAAAAGTTATAAAGAACAATTCAGTGCCTGAGTACCCATCTTTAGAAACCAAGCTTAGCTAACACAGGCAAACCTTATATAGCCTTCTGGTATCACTTCTCTCTCTCCTTACCCAGAGAAGCACTATCCTATATTTGAGGTTTCTTTGCTGACATCATTTTATTGATGCCTCTACTTCCTATCATGTGATGCCCAAAACCAGTGATTGTCTACCCTGGCTGCATGTTACAATTACCTAGAGAAGTGAATTATCTTTAAAAACAAATGTCCAGATTCACATGTGGGGTCGGGCTTGGGCATTGGTGTAATTGGAAGCTGTCCCAGGTGATTGTGATTTGTGGGTAGAGCTCTAGTATTCCAGATTGTGTCAGGTTCCTTTGCTATAGTAGACACTTAGCACCTATACTTGTCAGTGCTTACCTCAAGTGTAATTTAAATTACTTACTTAATGCAGGCTCAGTGGGAGCTGATTTGCTGTCTTGCTTGTTGATATCATAGTTCTGGGCATACAGTAGGTTCCAGCTCATTGGACAAATGAACCTGAGCACCATCCATTACGGTGCTCATTCAGAAAGTATACGTTCTGACAGGGGACAGCTTGACCGTATTACTAGATTGTTTCCACTGCTGGGCAAAGCAGGTATCACAGACTGTTATGGGAAGGCCCAAACTCCATTTTAAAAGATAGATTGTGGCCAGTGGCTGGGCGCGGTGGCTCATGCCTGTCATCCTAGCACCCTGGGAGGCCAAGGCAGGCAGATCGCTCAAGGTCAGGAGTTCAAAACCAGCCTGAGCAAGAGCAAGACCCCGTCTCTACTAAAAATAGAAAGAAATTAATTGGCCAACTACCATATTTCCCCAAAAATAAGACCTACCCATAAAATAAGCCCTAGCAGGATTTCTAAGCATTTGCGCAACATAAGCCCTATCCCAAAAATAAGACCTAGCGATGAGCATGGCTATGCAGCGTATCTGCACAACCCATGCATTTCCTTGATGAGCGGTAAAGATGAGCAGCCCTTCTCATCTGCCCCATGAGAGCTCTATTGCTTGACATGAGAGATTGGGGCCAATGGTTCTAAAGGAAATAGAGTCCCAAGAAATTCAGGATGGAATTTGGGGTTTAGAGAGTTATGATGATGTTCCAGAATAAAACGACTTAACTATATTTGAATAAATGTAGATTGTTGTACCATACTTAAAAAAAAAAACACATCCCCTGAAAATAAATATAAGACCCTGTCTTATTTTCAGGGAAACATGGTAAAATATATATAGAAAAATTAGCTAGGCGTGGTGGCGCATGCCTGTAGTCCCAGCTATTCAGGAGGCTGAAGCAGAAGGATCACTTGAGCCCAGGAGTTTGAGGTTGCTGTGAGCTGGGCTAACACCACAGCACTCTAGCCCAGTCTCAAAAACAAAAAATAATTAAAGATAGATTGATTTATTTGTGTTTACTGACAGTGACCTTAAGAAGTGAGATTAGAGTTTTTGTAAAATATCTATCACTTCACCTATGTTAAGAAGGTTCTTGTAAGGGATGGGTGAGCACATCTCTAGGTGTTTCATTAAGTCTTTAATTTTCTTCATTATGGGGTAAGATCTTTAAGGGACTTATCTGAAAATTGATAATAGTCATTTTTGAGACTGACATTGAGTTGTATCTTTAAAAGCTTCTATTTAAATGACTCATCCAAGTGTATGTGGTTTCCCTAGAATAGTGAATGCTTCCCTAATTTTTCTTACTGAAGCACATTTGTAAATTTACATTTTGGTCTTGAAAGTGTACCTGGTATAGTGTGATGGAAAATGGATAAAGATTGAAAGCCCTGATCTGGAGAGGTTAGCTAGTGCTTCTCAAACTTTAGTATGTATTAAGAACCACATAGAGGTTAATTAAAACAGATTAATGAACTCTACCTTAGATTCTGATTCAGTAGCTGTGAGTTGGGTTGGGACCCAATAATTTGCATTTCTAATAAGTTCTCGAGTGGAACAGATGCTGCCAGTTCAGAAGACCACAACTGGAATTACACTGAGGTAGCTAGCCCTCTGAAAGGGCAAGAAAAAAATTTATTAGGCTAGGAAGCCACAGTGGTAGATTGAATAATAGTGGTGATTTACACTATAGTTTGACTCTTAATGATCTTGAGGGCAGGCTGTGGGTTGAGAATGGTGGGAAAAAAGAGTCTTAGAAGAAACAAGGTTGCCTTACAGCTGTGGCCTCAGTGCAGTTTATTTCTGGGTTAGGGGAGCCCTTGTACTGCCAGTGCCACCCTAAGTGCTTTGTAGTGCTCATCACTGGATCCCTTCCATAAGTGGGACCACACTTAGTTGGTCATGAAATGCTTAGAAATGGCTTTTGAATCTGGTTTCCCCTCTTCTTCCCCACTGCCTTTTTTCTCCAGATCCCTGTTATCTCTTACCTGGTATCTTGCCACAGACCCCTGAATCTTCTGTTTCTTTTCCTTTCAAGTCTTTGCTCAGTGTAATCACCAGAGTGATCATCTTAAAAAAACAAACCTGATTTCTGTGATCTTGCCTTTAGAGAAAAAAAAAAACAAAAAACAAACCTGGCTAAGTTACATTATTGCTTTAAAACCTCTAGCTAACTCTTTATTTTATTTTATTTATTTATTTATTGGAGACATTGTTTTACTCTGTTGCCCAGGCTAGAGTGCCTGGTATCAGCCTAGCTCACAGCAACCTCAAACTCCTGGGTTCAAGTGACCTTTCTGCCTCAGCCTCCCGAGTAGCTGGGACTATAGGCATGTGCCACCATGCCTGGCTAATTTTTTTCTCTCTCTGCATATATTTTAGTTGGCCAATTAATTTCTTTCTATTTTTAGTAGAGACAGGGTCTCGCTCTTGCTCAGGCTGGTTTTGAACCCCTGACCTTGAGCGATCCATTTGCCTCGGCCTCCCAGAGTGCTAGGATTACAGGCGTGAGCCACGGCACCTGGCCAAACCTCTGCCTAACTCTTGTCTGTAGGTTTAAGTGCAAGCATGACATATACGAATTCCTTTGTGATCTGGAGGATGAGGATATTTAATAAATAAATAAAATGTAGATAAGTTCCTTGTTCCTGGAATAAAAACTGGCACACTTTTTGCTATGGGTGTTACGTAGAAGACAAATAGGTATTTTATAAGGGTTGAACTTGAATGGATTCTGAATATGACATGGTTACTATCCTCACAGATCCTCTTCTATTTCATTAGTAAAATAGACAGACATAAAGAACATATGCCTGAATGTTAATAATGAGTGCTGTCAGAGTGTGGTGAAGTCAGTGATCCATTTATGTCTAAGTAGTTGAGAGAAGATGTCATGGAAGAAGTTCAATATTATTTGAGTAGTTAAAAAGGAAAAGTCTGGCATAAACAGAAGCCAACCAGGGATGGGGATGATGACAAGGTTCGGTATAGATGATATTTGGGAGCCGGTCAGGCTTTCTTGAGTGGGAAATAATAGGAAGGAAAGCTAGATTACAGGGATTGAGGCCCCGGGGAGCTAAGTAAGCCATTTTGATCTGATCTTACAGGTATGCAGGTAGGTAATTAGGGCAATAACATGATAAAACTAATATTTTATAAAAATGATTCATTGATGTGTGATATGATTTGGAAAAAGGAGAGTCTGAAAGCAAAAGAATGAGTTAACCTGTTGAATTAGTTCTGGCAAGAGGTGAGGAGTTCTACCTCTTCTATCTCATTTGCATAGGTACCTAGTTAGTCACACAAATAAAACATAGGAAAGAATATAGAACTGAGAATGAGTGGATTCTGTTGGGTGGAATATTTAAAGATCTTGATTGACTGGTGGAGGGGGGGAATAAGTCTCACAGAGATAGAAAGGGAAACTCATTTTTGAGAAGTTTGAGAAGTTAAGTTCCATTTTTATTTTGTGGAATATGATACAGTAAGATGTCCAAAAATAAATGCCTAGTTACTAGTTGGAGATAGGAGACTGAAACTTTGTTAAGGGCTGAATCCAGATAAGAGTTTGAGAGCTGTCTGTGTTAAACTGTAGTTAATAGTTAAACCATGGAATGAAGTAAGATAGGCCTCCCAGGCTGTGGAGTATGGAGAGAGGAGCCAGATGGAGCCCTGGACAGTGCCTGAGGTCATCAGGTAGGAGCAGCCAACAGGGAGTTGGAGAGATCCAAGGAGGGCCAGGATTAATATTTCTGGAAGCCAAGGGAAAGGGGGAAGATGGTCTACCTCAAATTTATATTTCAAGGAAAATAGGCAGTTGGATTTGTCATGAAGCATTTTATTGGAATCCTTTTTACTTCTTTATTTTTTTCTAGGGTTTATACCTTTATGGAATCCTTTTTAGATAAGGAAAGGGGCAGATTTCTGAAGGCATGAGGAAAGGAAATGAACAAGGGAAAGGGAAAGAGCACTCTTGAAAGGCACTAGAAAGAAGGGAGGTGGCTGAATTAGTCCAAGTTCCCCAGCTTTATCTCAAAATCCACATGTGTGTAAGGCAGGTAGAAGGGGGATGGGGAAAGATGCTGGCAGAATGTTCGGAGAGTATAAACAGGTACCTCTATCTGGAGTTGTGAGAAAAAGTAATCAAAGGCGTCCACTGGATTAGTTTACAAGGGACACTGTACTCTTGGTTGAGAAAAGATAAAGGCTGCTGTTGAAGATCTGGATCATACTGGTTTCCTCTGGTTAGGTAGGAGTGGACATCACTGATGCTGGGAGGGAGGTGGAGAATAGGATTACGATATTTAATGTCTTATCAAATTATCCATAGGTATTCTTTTATCTCTGAGGTTTCCAAGCCAAGTCTTCCAATTGAAATCTTTAGATTTCACTTAACAGCATAGTGGCTATTACCACTCATATTTTACTTCTGTGATGTTCTCCGACTCTCAAGAGCTTGGAATTATAGTGGTCTGGAAAAAGGAAATGTGGAGGCAGCTATGCTGTTCCTGTAGAATCCAAATTTTAGAGGGAAAGGAGCTACAGTCAACACCAATTATTCTGGAAGGACAGGAATTGAAATGTACTGAACATCCACTCCTATTTTACATATGAAAAATGAAGGATCAGAATCAAGATTTGAATTTAGCTCTGATATTTCAGATGAAATATTTCCTCTAGCATTCTACCGAGTAAAGGAAAAGCATAGACAGTCTGATTCCCTCTTCATTTTTAGACAAAAGCTGCTGTTTAACATTTACTAGACTTGTCCTAAAGCAAGGAATATAAATTAATTTCCATTTCACTTTTGTTTTCCTAGTCCTTGTGATGGAGGCAAAAATGAATCGTGAAAAGGGCAGGGGGTGGCCAAACCTATAGGACCTGCTTAGAGGAACTAACCAACTAGAGAATCACCTCAAACAGATTTTCAGGCCCCATCCCAGATTTATTGGATCTAATTCTGTTAACAAGCTCCCCAAGTGATTCATGTGTCTAATAGTTTAGAAGCACAGAGTTAAAACCTAAGAGCTGAGAGTAAAATTTTCAAATGAAATACCAAGCTAGAGACTTTGGAATGCAATGAATTTTACTGACCATGTCTCTCAAGATTTAGATAATCTCTGAGTGTGGGAATAGCCACCAATTGTTTTGTGGGTGCTTTTCAGATCCTGGCTCCCATACCTACAGTTCAGAGCCCATAGTGGAGCCATCCACAGCTCCCAGTGTCCCTCTACAGCCTCATCTCCAGCTACTCAGCTGTACCTTAAGCTCCTCACTCCTGGTCCTCTTGTTTAAGATATTCTTCTCTCTGTCTCTGTCTCTCCCTCTCCACCCCCTTCCCCTAAAACCCAGCAAACATCTACTTTGGCTTCAAAATCTAGGCAAAATACCTTCTTTAGGATTTCTTTCCCATTTTCTTCATCTTATTGTAGCCTTATGCCGGTACCTCTGCTTGAGCACTTGGGCCTGTATCTGACACCTGTCATGTGCCCAGCACAGGCAGATATTCAATAAACCTTTGTTGAATAGCCCCTAGGTTCTTGCTGCCTAGCTGAGAGTTCTTGTTGTCTAGGTTTATTGAGAAGGAGTGACAAAAATTCTCCAAATGGTTAAAAAATTGGAATGTTTGAAGGATTTTAATTTTATGGTTTCTCTTCCCTTTTATTCATTTCATGGTATAAGGAGAGAGGGCCAGCAGTCCTTGCCTAGGTTTTTGATGGTTTATTTTCAAAGAGATAACATGCCACTAGCAAGTTTGATAACCAGAGAGGCTAGGCCTTTCTGAGGTTAGTGACCTGTTTTCTTTATAGCTGACCATGTGTCTGTGCTTGCTTCCCTTGAATTGTAAGCCAGGTGCTCTCACAAAGTCTCAGAAAGGAAATTCCCCACCCCCTCTGACATATCTGCCCAGACTGCTAAGAGTAGCAGGTAGTCTATGCTCTGTGCATGTAGCCATCCCTTCTCTAGAACGCTAGTTCTGTGGCAGGGCTGACCAATCCGCTTCTCCATCTTAGTCACACTGCTCCAGCCCTGATATTGCCTGGTGCCTGCTGGAGCCTGTGCTGCTTGCAGCAGATTACTGTATGCTTGTTCCTGGGCCCATTTCCTGTTTCTATTCTAGTCGCTCATGGCTCAGCTCTGCTTCCTGCCTGTGTGTCTCACACAGATTCCTCTTGCTGGAACCTTTTGTTTTCTTCAGAACAAGCTCAGTCTGAAAAGCAGCTGAGCCTTACCTCTAATATGAAGGCTCCTGGAGTCAGTAAGTCCTACAGAGGACTGGAGGGAAGTACCTCCTCTTCACTAAGCACACCATTTGAATTTGACCTTGTTTTTTAGTTTGTCCCCCACCTCTGCTATAGGAAGCTGTGGGCCAGAAATTGGTATAAAGGGTAAGTTGGGCCAAACTTGTCCTTACTCATCAGCCACACAGGGGTGTCAGAACTGATATGCCCTGGCTCTTTTGTACCTGGAGCTTATAAACTTATTTCCTACTGCTGGTACTCTAGCCTAAGCCTCCCTGAAGCCCAGATGATACTTACTTTGGATTGGGCAGGTAATGCCATCCCCAGCAGAATAACAGCCTGCAGAGAACATAGAGATGGAGAAGAAAGCATGTGCTGACTCAACCTTTCATCCTGTGTGAGCAAGTCACCCCCCCCCCAAAAAAAAAAAGGGTAGGAGGAGAAAGTGCAAGGAGGTTGCAGAAGAAGTAGTGAGGGAGGTGTTATCCTGGACAAATGTGTTTAAAGGTCTAAGGCTCCCCCATCTTGCTCATTTCCCCCAGAAAAGCACTAGTTTAGCAGAGAATATGCGTCGTAAGTAAATCTGTTTTCTGTCCTTATTTATTTATTTATTTATTATTATTATTTTTGAGACGGAGTCTTGCTTTGTTGCCCAGGCCAGAGTGAGTGCCGCAACGTCAGCCTAGCGCACAGCAACCTCAAACTCCTGGGCTCAAGCAATCCTGCTGCCTCAGCCTCCCGAGTAGCTGGAACTACAGGCAGGCACCACCATGCCCGGCTAATTTTTTCTATATATATTAGTTGGCCAGTTAATTACTTTCTATTTATAGTAGAGACGGGGGTCTCGCTCTTGCTCAGGCTGGTTTCGAACTCCTGACCTTGAGCGATCTGCCCGCCTCAGCCTCCCAGAGTGCTAGGATTACAGGCATGAGCCACCACGCCCGGCCTGTTTTCTTTCCTTCACAACTGCTCTTTTGGGATCATTTAATAGTAGAGTATTTCGATATGAACCTTAGGCTTAGGTATATTTAATAGGGATTTAATGTAGGGAATTTGGGCTGACAGAATCACAGGAAGGAATGAAGGAACATACTCTAGGCTTGGCTTCCAGGAATGGGACCCACAAGAGGAACTCCTGCCTCTGAGCCACTATTAGAGTGATTGCTCTTAGATCACTCCCCTAAACCTGTGATCCAGGGATCAGTAAGCTGAAATCAAGCAGTAGCTGCTGCTGCCAGAAACAGCACCCAGTTAATTGGAGAATATAACCAAAATGCGCCTATAGAAACAAGTGAAGGAGACAGAAATATGGTCTCTGCTATACTTTAATCAAATCTCATGAGTCTACTTCTAATTAGCGAAACCTATCTGTAAAGGATTCAGGATTCTTGGAAATTTAGTTTTTAAGCTTTTTAACCTCTACAATTAGGGAAAGAGTAGAATGGACACAGCATGAGACAGTCGAACAGAATATTCTCAACACTAACATCCCCTCTCCCCTGTCTTCCCTCCTACTCCCCACTTTACATATGAGGAACTTAAGGCCCAGAAAGGGTAAGGGACTTGCCCAAGGTCATTCAGTAAATGAGAATATTGGTTTCCCTCACTTTAGTCCAGTGTTTTTACTGTTAGGACCAACTCTTGTAAAGGATCAGCAAAAAGATCCTTTAAGAAAAGGAGGAGGCTGGTTATAGTGGCTCACACCTGTAATCCCAGCACTTTGAGAGGCCGAGGCAGGAGGATCACTTAAGGCCAAGAGTTCAAGACCAGCCTGGGCAACATAACAAACCCTGTCTCTACAAAAAAAATAGAGAAAGAAAGAAGAAAGAATGCTATATTCAGAAAATAGACTTTACCTTCCATATTCTCTTCTCTGTGGAAAAAGGGAAGGAGGTATAGAGAAATATGATGTTGAAATTTCGAGGCAAAATTAATGATACTATAGCTTCTGGATTTAGGTCTGCTCTTGAGGAGGATGTTGGAAGCATTTACTTTGGAAGGAAAAATCCTCAAAACCCAGAATCCTGAAATTCCTGAGTCAACATATGGATGAACTCAGTTGCCATAGTGATAGTGGCTTACCTTCACCCATTCATGTTTCCCTTTCCCTCTTGTTGGTGCTTTTCTGGTTTTTTGTTTTGTTTCTGGGTGGTGTTTTGTTTGTTTGTTTGTTTGTTTTCTGTGTTTTGTTTTTTTATGAGATATAGGGTCTTGCTCTGTCACCTAGACTGGAGTGCAGTGGTATGATCACAGCTCACTGCAACCTCCAACTCCCAGGCTTAAGCTGAGACTACAGGTGCACATCACCATGCCTGGCTAATTTTTAATTTTTTTTTTTTTTTTTTTTTTGTAGAGATAGGGTCTCACTGTGTTGCCCAGACAGGCCTTGAACTCTCCTGGCCTCAAACCATCCTTCCACAGAAGCCTCCAAAGTGCTGGACTTATGTGAGCCACTGTGCCCGGCATGTTAGTGCTTTTTTGACCTTCTGCAAAACTGTTTGGAGGATTACCTCAGTGAAGCACATGCCCTGGCTTCTGCTGTTGTCCTTCTGCAAAAAAGACCAACCAAAAATCAGAAAAGCAGCCCGGAGTGGTGGCTCACGCCTGTAATCCTAGCACTCTATGAGGTCGAGGCGGGCGGATTGCTCAAGGTCAGGAGTTCGAAACCAACCTGAGCAAGAGTGAGACCCCATCTCTACTATAAATAGAAAGAAACTAATTGACCAACTAATATATATAGAAAAAATTAGCTGGGCATGGTGGCACATGCCTGTAGTCCCAGCTACTCGGGAGACTGAGGCAGCAGGATTGCTTGAGCCCAGGAGTTTGAGGTTGCTGTGAGCTAGGCTGACGCCACGACATTCACTCTAGCCTGGGCAACAAAGTGAGACTCTGTCTCAAAAAAAAAAAAAAAAAAATCAGAAAACCAGCCCCCAGATGTGTGGCCAAGTTGTTTTATGTCTATCCTTGGGGGACTTGAGCCTTTGAGCAAGAAATGAAACAAGTCAAGAAAAAAAAAAAAGAAAGAAATGAAACAAGTCCACCTAAAAATGTTCTTTACAAAAACTACTAGGCCCCTTAAGCCAAGGCAAAAATCTTTGCCTTCAGGCCTGGCCCAGGGGGGGAGGACCTATAGTTTGGGAGGTCTGTTACCATACGTAATAAATCAAGTGTAGAACTAGCTCTATTGTCTTTTTTTCATGTTTCTTTTTTCTTTTCTTTTTTATTTTTTTTGAGACAGTCTCACTTTTGTTGCCCAGGCTAGAGTGAGTGCCGTTGTGGCATCAGCCTAGCTCACAGCAACTTCAGACTCCTGGGCTCAAGCAATCCTCCTGCCTCAGCCTCCCGAGTAGCTGGGACTACAGGCATGCACCACCATGCCTGGCTAATTTTTTCTATATATATTAGTTGGCCAATTAATTTCTTTCTATTTATAGTAGAGATGGGGTCTTGCTCTTGCTCAGGTTGGTTTTGAACTCCTGAGCTCAAAGGATCGCCCGCCTGGGCCTCCCAGAGAGCTAGGATTATAGGTGTGAGCCACCACACCCAGCCTGTTTTTCATGTTTCTAAGACATTTGGTGTTCTACCTGAAAGCTATGGTGAAACTGGTATGTATTCTAGTGCTGCCCCTTTAGGGACCAGTGAGTGCTTGGTCTCTTGATCCATCCACTTCCATGGCCCGAACTTGTTTCATCTTTCCACCTACTATCAGCATAGAATTGGCTGCCATTGTGACATCAGCTCTGGTTGCCATGAGGCAGAGCTCACCTCTAAGCTGCAAGCTTCCCTCTCATTTTACCTTTCCCAAGGAAGCTGAGAAAGCTGTGCCTTGTTGAAGGTGGGAACTAGGGGTTGAAGGCTCAGTCTTGATAGTCAGGGAACCTATTCCTTAAGGCTGGCTTTGATGTGGGAGGAATATTGAATGCTGTTTACTGAAATTGGTAAAGGTAACTTCTTGACATTTTGGGGAAAGTAGGAGAGAAACCACGTTTTATATAGAAGGGATCAGTGTTTAGAGGAACCGTTATTAAGAATATTTGGGTTTTTATCCTTCCTCAGCTTCTACTTCTAGAACTTGAGTATGCACTCCTGTGTTCAGAGTTGTTCTTTTGGTTTTAAATTCCTTTGGATTGATGGTTGTCTTTTCTGATTTAAGATTCTATCCATTCCTCATTCTCAGATCTGTTTGTTCCACCCTTTCCCCCCAAATATTTGGATTTGATCTAGACTAGTAGGCTATAGTAGGGAAGACCACTGACAAATATAAATTTAGAACTTTAACTCCTGAACCAAGGAGGCCATCCAGCCCCCTATTTCTAAGCCATGGTCAGCACAGTGCCAGCTTTGCCTTCCTCAGTTGTCCTTGCTTGCTTTTTGGTTGCTGTCATTCTGAGGGGCAGCCAGGCTTGCTATCAAGAGGAGAAACTGATGATATGGAAGCCTAAGGCAATACCCCTCCCTGTTAGACTTCTCATACCAAGAACTCTGCTTGCTTTGCTGTGTTTCTTTCCTTTCACTCTCCTCCCACCTACTTTCTTGCCCTCTTTGCTCAAGTTCTAGGATTATAGCTGATGATGGTCATGCAACAAGCTCTGTGAGTTTGGCCTTCCTAACAGGGAATGCTTGACTTTGGGAAAGTAGGAGGTTCCTAACTGCTTTGCTTTCCCTAGCTTTACAGTGCTCTTGTTTCCTGCTGGGATTAGAACAGCCCTATTCCATAAATACGCGCTGCTCTTGGCTGCTCTAACTCAGGCCCAGCTCTGACCCAATTTCATTTTTTTCAGATTTGAGTCTGTTAACTAGTGACCCTCAAAACACTCTGTACATTTTTGGCCAAGAGGTGGTTACTGACTGGATAAGACAATGAGAAGCCTTTTGGGAGCAGAGTGTGTGTGCATGGGGGCTCGTCAGGCAGGTGACATGGTATTATATTATCTTCTAATTGTTTTATTTTTAGAAATTGGATTTTTTTTAATTGGAGAAAAGGCATACAAATATATTTAACGCGTGTACATGGGGAGAATCACAGAGTGATTGCCCTGAAGCCTGTTTTTATGTAAAATCTTCCAATTTTAGATTAGTCTGTATGGGGGTGTTAGACAATGAATGGAAAGGTTCTCTGGGACCCATGGGTCTATCCCTGAAGCCTTCCCACCCTCCCTCCCCCACCCTTAGAGATGGGGTCCCACTGTGTTGCCCAGGCTGATCCTGAACTTCTGGCCTCAAGTGATCCTCCCACCTCAGCCTCCTGAATAGCTGGAATTATAGGCGAGCCACCGCGTCCACCCCTGGAGCTTCTTATGGACTGCCCCATGTAGTTTTGGCTGCCTCTCTCTTCTATTTACTCCTTCCGAGCTGGTTCCTAGAATTCTTGGGGGTGGGGGACAGCTGTAAGGACCACTATCTTTATCCTTTGCCAATTCTCAATTGTGTTTGTTGTTTTATTGGTTTGGGGGGCATATGTAGGGGAGATGTTGAGCAGACGCACTCGATGTGATTAAACCTCCGGCTGAGCAGATCTGTGGGAGTAGAATATCGACCTCTGGAAAATCAATGGCTGCTGCAGTGGCCCAGCTGCTGTTTGCAGGGGCTCCCACCACAGGAATGCAAGCAGCCCAGCAGTCTTTCTTCTCCCCCTTTTTTTACCTCAGCAGTGCCCACAGCCACTACCCAAAGGGTCAGACCAACCTCAAGAGATTTTGCTGAGGTGGGTTAGAACAGCACGTTCTTATATTTTTGCAATTAGATTGAAATTTCTCCAGTGACATAAAGCCCTGCCTCCTGATAGCCTCCTTTCCAGACATTCCTTCCCTGCACTGCATTTCTAGCTACAGCTCTTACCTGTTTCCAAGGCCCGTTTGGGATTGTACTTCTCAGTTTTAGATAGGAGAGTTGGTTCCTTTGATGCCAGCAACCAAGAGTCCCTCCCTCATTGTGTAGGTCTAGAATTCAAGTTCCAGGTTAGGGTGGAAGAATAGAATGGAAATTAAGAGAAAGAGAGAAGAGTAATAAACATTGGGTCTAAAGAGGATAATTTTGAGTAGACATTGATCAAGCAACATTTATCAAGCGTCTTTTTTTTTTTTTTTTTTTTTTTTTTTTTTGAGACAGTCTCACTCTGTTGCCCAGGTTAAAGTGCCGTGGTGTCAGCCTAGCTCACAGCAACCTCAAACTCCTGGGCTCAAAAGATCTGCCTGCCTCGGTCTCCCAGAGTGCTAGGACTATAGGTGTGAGCCACCATGCCCAGCCTATCAAGCATCTTATCTTTTGTGTGTCTGGTATTTTTCTGGTCACTAAAAGCTTGATCTAGCCTTGATCCTACACGCCAGTGTAGAAAAAAGGCAGATACAGCACAGTGCCATCAGTCCTGTAACACTGAGTCTAAAGGAGCTTCAGGGAAACTGTGGGTCCTGCCTATGGGGAGGGGCAGGGTAGAAGGCTAGGAAAATTGTCCTGTGGCCTTGGTTTAAAGTAGATAGTTTAACAGAATGGCTAGCAGATCTCTGCTAGGATTGTGGATGCTTCTGATTCCTTCACTGCCCCCACAAAACATTTCTCATCTTTGAAGTTCCAAAGACTAAAAAACAAGATTAGTCTATTGTTGCACCTATAGTGTACCTTCAAGCAATTTGTCCTTCCACCAGTTCTCCGTTTTGGTGGCTGGAAAAATCAACCAACCTGATGTGTGTTAAAGCTCTATTGTCCTATTGTGGAGCTTGCTTGGCTTTTTCCTCCAGAAAAGAGCCTTCCCATCTTGTAGCTTAGGGAATGGGACCCCAAACAAGACCCAGTTGTCCTGCAGTTTGGAAAGGTGACTACAGGGCTGGGTGAGGAGAAAACTGTGAAGGTTTGAAATGGCCTAGAATGCGGCCATCTAGAGGCCAGGAATATCTTGATTTCTCTCTCTGAGCCACACCCTTGTGCTTGGTAATAAGATTAGAGCACATTCAGTTTGAATACCCAGCAGAGCCCAGCCTCTTGCCTTCATGGAACTCAACTTCTTTTTTGCTTCCCTAGATTCAAAGTCACCCTCTCCATACCCTCTGCCCCCTCGTATATTAAGTACCCTTCTGAAAACCTAGGGGTGAGAAAAAGTACTATACCCTTTAATTTAGCATAGAAAAAGTTTAAGTTAAGAAGGCTATAGGTGAAAGGGCTGATTTGGAATAAACTCTGAAAGTTAAAGGAAGAGTAGTTAGGAAAGAGGGAAGCACGTAGCATTGTAGACTTGTAGAGTTGGATTATTTAGTATCAGGTTTTCCTTTTAAAAGGAACTAAATGAAGCCTTGTGAGGGTAGCTGTCCAGAGTCAGGTAGCTAATCATCTAGCATGTATGGAGACAGTTTGTTGCCTTACCTCAATTAGAGTATGGATCTCAGCCTTTGATAGTGTCAAGCTTCTACCTTATGGAAAGAGTTCAGAGTAATATGGATTTGAACCCCAGTTATACTGTTTAATAGCTCTCTGTCCTTGGGCAAGTCATTTAATTTTAGAGCCTGCTTCTTTGTTAAAGTGGGGTGATAACTACATCAGATGGTTGTGAAAACTAAATGTGAATCAACCTTAGGGTTGGACTCATAGCAGTCACATATTCGTGTCAATTCTGCTTCCTTTCAAAAGGGAAATATAGGCCAGGCACAGTGGCTCACTCCTGTAATCCTAGCACTTTGGGAGGCCAATATGGGAAGATTACTTGAGGTTAGGGGTTTGAGACTAGCCTGAGCAATATAATAAGACCCCCATCTCTACAAAAAACAAAAGCCAGGTGTGATGGCATGCACCTGTAGTCCCAGCTACTGGGAAGGGTGAGGCTGAGGTAGGAGGATCGCTGGAGCCCGGAAGTTTGAGGTTGCTGTGAGCTATGATGATGGCCACTGCATTCCAGCCTTGGCAAGATCCTATGTCAAGAAAAGGATCCTATGTCGAGATCCTATGTCAAAAAAAGCAGGGGGTGGATAATAAAGGGATTTGCTTTATTAACTTTTTTCCAACCTTCGTTGAATTTGGAGATCAGAGCTTTCTTTATGAAAGTGTGTGTGTGTGTGTGTGTGTGTGTGTGTGATTTCCTCTTGAATGAGGGCCCCTGAAAAGCATTCTGAAGACAACTTTTCTCTGCTGTGCATTACCCACCAGGCAGCCAGAAGGTACCAGGAAGAATGAAAGAATGAACCATTATCCCCAGAACAATAGCCTATTGTAGAAAAAGAGAAGAGGGAGTTTGGTGGGGGGTCTTCCTATGCAGTGGTTTCTAGGATACAAACCAAGTTTTTGGAAACTTGGTGGTGGTGGGGGTATAGGAAATAGATTTTTCTGAGCCTTTCCTGGAATAGTTTCTGCTGTTCTATAAACAGTGATGGTAGTCCAGTCAGGAAATGGTGCTTATTCCTAAACTAAAAGGATGGTGCCAAGCTCTATATCTTTTCTTCCCTTTCCTTCCAACATGCTTAAGCCTTGACCTGGAAGTACCACCAGGAGTAAGGGGCAGGCAGCCTGTTCTGTGTATTGATGCATTCTTGGTATTTCAGCCAACACCAGCTAGCCTGCTCTCTAGGCATAGATGGTAGTTAATCTGTTGGACTGAGAGCACTCCTTGGACAACAGTGCAGGAATTCTGTAACCCTGGATTCCCTAACAGTCTGGGGTGGGTCAGATTGCTCTTCCTTACATTTATAGCAAAGACTAAAGAGAAAGAAAGAGAGCCTACAACTGAAGCTATTGCACTGAAAATTTTTTTAGAAATGTTTGATAGAGATACCTTCTCCCCTGCCACGCTTGACAAGTTGTGTTGCTTAAGGAAGATTTCATGAAAAACCAAATCTCCCAAAAATGTATTTGCTT